AGGTTGTGGTGGAGTCCCGATGAGATGGAAATTGCGCTTGAAGTTGCCCAATGTTTAGACTTTAGTGGGAAGATCCATGCAATCCTCCATGAATGAGCGTGTGTTCACACGACTTTTAATCAATATCCTAAACAACAGAACAACGAACATGAATAATTGCGTGTGAATTATTACTCCCGTCTTTAATAAAAGATGAAGTCAAAATAATTAGTGTTTTTTTTTCTATTTTACTTTTTATTTATTACTATCATTTGCATTTTTAAACAGTAATTTATTACGGTAACAAATTACAAAGAACGGTAACGTTGAAAAATGACATACTTTTTTTACAACTTCAAGGTTATGATTAACATTTTTTAGTAAGTGTAAAATTTTTTAACTTTGTCTTATATGAAAGATTGGAGAGTAATGGTCTTCCTCTGCAGAAGTCTGCTCTCGAATAGGAAACACGTGTTACAAATAAAAATTTTAGTAGAGTGGAAAAGCTGTGGTATCTTGACAAAACACAACAACGTTGCGGTGAAGTCCAAGTGAAAGAACATGGAAATTGCACTTCAAATTGCCCATGGTTCAGTGGGAAGATGCATCTCGGCCACTGTACTTAATACAAACATTCATCTAAATTATTAAAATTAAAATTAATGATTATGAATTTATATTTCATTTAAAATTAATAAATAAGTAAATTATCTGAATTGTTAATTTATATTTTAATAATTTAAATAGTACAGATGCTTAATGCCTATATTAAATACAGTAATTGAATTTAAATTCGAAAAGATGTATATAATAATCATGTATGTTCATACCACTTTTAACTAGTAGTCCGAACAAGAAAATAGCGAACAAAAATTGCATTTACATTAATGTTTTTCACAACACGTACGAAACACGCATTAGTTATTAATGACAATGACAATTACAAATTAGTGTAATTTAAAAATGAATGGGGTCTTCGGAGGTAATCTTTCCTCACAATAAGGTACTTTAATTCATGATAAACATGGAATGGGAACACTTGATAATATGTTTCACTGGCACCCAATTTTTTAGGGGAAAATTTCAGTGAGGACCTATTGATCCAATTTAATTTTAGTTATAATCCTTAAAATTTTGAAATTTTACTATACACGTGGGGACTAAAATGAAGTTAATATGTGTGAATTTCTGTAAAGTTTTCATTTTTTAAAATATTTTTATTATTTTTTAGAAAATACAAAACATTTTTTTCTTTCTTTTCTTTAAAAGATAAATTTTCTTTTAAGAATTGAAATCCCTGAAAAGCAATTTATGGAATACTAAATATGTATTTAATTTTCAATCTATATTTGATAAAAGCATATTTAGAGTTCTAAGAATTTGTTGCACTGTATTTGACAATAATACATTCTAAATATAGGCTGAGTATGTTTTTAACAGTTGTTTAAACGGGCCCTAAGGCTAGTATGACTTTTTTGTAGAAAAATTTCTTAATTTTTGAGACTAGGGGAGTTTCCACCAAAAGGATAGACTAAAAGAAGCGTGAGAGGGGAGGGGATGAAGGTAAAAATGAGAAGCGTGGCGTAATTTTAGTGGAGGTTTTTTTTTTTTAAAAAAAGGAGATGGTTATTTTTTGAGAGAGAGAGAGAGAGAGAGGAAAAAGGATGACGGAGATGAGATGGTAGGAGAAGAAAGGCCAAAAAAAAAAAAAGTCAAAGAAGGGGCAAGTGAGATTCGCTGGCAGAGGAAGCTGACGTCACAAGTTACGCCTTGGGTCTGCCACACCACCACCCCGCATCCCTATCCATTCCCCTTCTCGAAACGCTTCCACGGCCATGCCTCTTCTCTCTCTCTTTTCTCCCAATTAATTTTAGCTGCAAAATTACTAAAAGCTTCTATTTGAAGTGTATTTAATTAGTGGAATGCCGCGCACGTGCATGCACTGTTGAAGACACCCAAGCTTGTGTCTGGTGACTGGTCAGAGGAAGATACAAGATGCGGGATTGGCACACTCCTCAGGCTTGTACGTGGGTAGGCTTTTTGCCTTTTGGTTTGATTTGGGGTGGAGATAGATATAGATCATAGTGTGAGCCTATGAGAGATGTTTCTTTTGTTTTGGGTAGTTGAGGTGAGAATGCAAAATGGACCAATCAATCAGTCACCTCAAAGTGTGTGGGTTTTCCTACTCTTCACTAACGTTGTTTGTTGTTATTGTTCATCTAGTACTTTCTGTGTTAAACAAACCTAAATCTTGCATTAATCTGTTTCGTAGGATCTGGTTGGTACAGATTGGTTTTGCCAACTTTGAATTTGACGCCTCCCTCCTCCGTTTCCCTCTCACGCCTGCTACCCCTGCATCCCTTGTTTGCTGTCACACTAACATTGAGGTAATTTCGTCTCTTTTGCTAACTGTCATTTCCACGTCCTGCCTTCCCTCATTAAACAACAATACTTTTTTTTTGGGGGAAATTACCGCCTAAGTATCACTACAAAATGTTCATATGTCAATTGAGGACAATAAAATTATAAAATTTCATTACAATCCCTTACTCTTTAGCTAAAATTAATTTTTTTACGTAAAATAATCAAATTGTCTCTAATGAATGAGTTATTGTTAAAATTTGAATGAATAATTATTAATAAAGGTTTTTAAAGTTTGAATGAATTATTGTTAATTTTAAATGTATTGTTATCAAAACTCGAATAGATACTTGATATCGATGATTGAAATTATAGGTCTAACGGAATAAGTATATAAACAATAAGCCATTCAAATTTTGACAACAACGCATTTGAAATTAACAACAATCAATTCAAACTTTAAGAAGTCAAAAAAACTGATAAGATATGTTTAATTGTACAAATATTAGTCCTTTATCCTAAGTACTATTTTGATTTTAACAACAACTCATTTGAAATTAACAACAATCTACTTGAGCTTTAAAAAATTAGAAAAACTTATATGATAGACTTAATTATACATGTTAATTATTCATCAACAAATATCCATTTGAGTTTTAAAAACAATCCATTCACGATTAACGACAATGTATTTGAATTTTTAACAAGAAGTTTTAAAATTCTTAATTTATAATTAACAATATCAAATTAAGAAGTAACATTAGTAAAATAATAAATGCTATTTATAAATTAATTACACACCGTTATGTTAAAACATGAAAACAGTTTAGAAGTTCGGGTTGCTCTGTGTGTGTGTGTGTTTCGTATATAATTAAATGAGTTTAGTGACTCGATAGTTATCAAATTTTTTATGTGACTTATGGGATCATAAGATCAAACTTCTCTTAGTCACATTTATCAATTACCCTTGAATAAAAGTGCCACCAGCATTGAAGCTTTTGTTGATCAACCTTTGGCAACTCTATTGTACAAGGGCTTTGGGGATCTCATCGTGGGCAAGGTTTCCAATGAAAATCAAGTGACAATGGGGATCATTTATTTTTATTATTTTAAATTTTAGAGACAATTCAGCCATTTCAATTTCAACTAAGGACCAAAGGGCAAAAGGGAAATTACAGAATCTTACTGTCCTCAATTGACATAAACTTTTTATAGTGGTCCTCAAATGATATTTTTCTTTTTTTTTTTAACATCATGTCACATAATTTTTCCCTCCGTTAAAGAGGTGTCCTATTTTTTTACTTACATGATATACATTTTAGTTATTATTTGGTCTTTATTTCCCCCCTCCCAGTGTGTGCGTGTTAAAAAACAGAGAGCATGTGCGATGTTTATAAGTTTTCTAGTCTGAAGATGTTAGTTTCACAGGTACTCTTTGTCCAGTTTTTGATCCCAGCCTCGGCCAATGTTCTTGTAGAATATTTGAGCTCCTTTCATTTTCAAAGTTCTTGATCTTCTGTGAGCTTCTCGCTAGTAGGTCATTTTCTTCTTCACTTTGTGGATGACTAGGTTGCAGAGAGTTTCCTAGAGGAGAACGAGAGAGCCACAAGGAGACTGACTTGTTTAGGCTTCTTAAATAAGCACTAGATTCCTTAAACGAGAGGACTTCAATGTTCAACGTTACCTGATTCAAGATTTCAACATGATCGTTAGTGTATGCTCCTTTCGTTTTTATATATAAAAAAAATTGTATCTCATAATTTAAAAAAATTAATTAATTATAAAAGTTATGTCTAAAAATAAAAAAATTGGATTAAAATACTCTATGGTAATCGATATAAGTATGCATTAAATATTTTTTATTAATGTAAATTATGAGAAATAATTTAAAAAGTGTATAATAAATACTTATTAAAATATATAATTTTTTATATAAAAAATAAATAAAAAGTGATAATTTTTTTTATAAATAGAAACGAAATAGTAACATCGTAGCCTTTATTTCATTTGTTAACTGTTAGCCGGCAAAGAACTTGAGAGAGCACGTACATTATTATTGCATTGGCCCAAAAACAACCGTAGGTTCAATTTCAATGCCTGATATCCTTTTTTTTTGTTTTTAATTACAAGACAAGTCTAGACTTGGAAAAAACCCAAAACACGAGGGGAAAGTCAGCCGTTCCTATCCTCCAGGAATAAACTCATGCATCCCAGTGGGGGTTTATGCAGTACAATCAATTCTTCAGTGTTGTTGTGAGCTTCCTTAGCCAGATAATCTGCAACATAATTGCTTTCCCTATTAGAGAAATAGACCTGAACGTTTCCAGAAGAGGAAAGAGCACATCGAGCTTGATGAACCTCCTGGCGTAGGGAATGATCCGTGTTATAACTTGATGAAGGAGATTAATCAATTCAATGCAATCAACATGCCACTGAACTGGATTACCTCTGTGCTGGTTGCATATTTCATAAGCCCATGTAGTTCATGTGCTTGAGATCCAATTGAAGGCCACATTATAGCCCTGAACTTGCATCTTGGTCTAAAGACGTATCAGTTGTGATTCTACCAAAAAAAAAAAGAAAAAATAAAAAAATCACTTGTGAAGTTGTGATTCTACCAAAAATAAAAAATGAAAATGAATGCTTGGGAATTCCCAGACGTGACAACGACCTCTTTATCGCTTCTTCCCTAGTCAATGGCTCCAATCCAATCCAACGCCGTCTTACTTCACAGTTGATCCGCCACTTTTGAGTTCAGTTTCTCTTCAAAGATGAACAAGAAGATGAAATTCTCTTGCATTGGCCACCATCCTAAGCTCAAAATCTTAGATTGCTTGCTTCCAATTTTTCAAATCCATGCCGTAATACTCCTCCTCGCCATCTGCTTCGTCCATTCATCTTTTTTAGTGTCGAATCGTGAGCCCTCTCCTCCTCCTCTTCCCATTTTGCCTATCCCCAGTACTTTCCAGCTCCAGTGGCAGCTCAGCGGAATGGTCCTCTTCCTCCACTTCGGAATGAACACCTTCACTGGCTCAGAATGGGGTACCGACCGTGTTGACCCCTCTGTCTTCAACCCGTCCATGCTCAATGCTACCCAGTGGGTTTGAGTTGCCAAGGAATTCGGATTTTCTTGAGTACTGTTGACCGCGAAACACCACGACGGTTTTTGCTTGTGGCCCTCTAACTATACTGATTACTCTGTGCGGTCGAGCAAGTGGAGGAACAGGACCGGCGATGTCGTCGCCGAGTTGGCTGGCACTGCCAAGGACGCTAGCATTGGTCTTGGGCTTTACCTTTTCCCTTGGGATCGGCACGAACCATGTTATGGTAAGACTCGGGAGTATAACGAGTTTTACCTGGCGCAAATGACTGAGCTACTCACTAGGCAATTCAGGTCGAGCTTCATTTTCGAATTCTTTGTTTGTAAATTTCCCTGATTTTTTGACCAATCTCAGGTCGGATTCGATTTATGAGTAATGTGTTTTCTATTAATGATTGGGGGGGGGTTGTTTCTCTTATTTTGATATATGATCCTTGTTGTTCTAATTTTACATTCAATGCTAACAAAATCAGGAACACCAAGTCCGTCTTGAAGCCGCCACTCTATAAATACTATCACAGTAGGTAATTTGGCAGAAAAATGACTTTCTTTATTCATCGAATAATCAGTTAAGTACCACAAATTATTGTTAAATTCAAAAATTAATCTAACTGAGTGTACACGTGGCTGTTGAAATCAACCATCCCCACTATTAAAAATAGCCTATGAAGGCTCTGATACCATATCACACTAGGTAATTTGGCAAAAAAAATAACTTGCTTTATTAATTGAATAAGGTCATTATATATACAAGAGAGGTAATCTGTTAAGTACAGCAAATTATAGTTAAATTAGAAAACTAATCTAACTGGTGTACACGTGGCTATTGAAAATATCAACCATCCCCACTATTAGTATGTCAATAGCTCGGACATGTTTCGATTGATACTATGTCTTTCACTTTTCATTCCACAGTAATTTTTATCGGGTTCTTGTTCTCTGTGTATCTGAGGATTTAGTGACTTTGCTGTGGCTTTTGCTATGGTAGAATCCATATTTCATTTCAAGATATTACGCGCCTATGGAACGTCCTTTATTTTGTATTGCTGGCCATTGCTTGTAAACTGCATATGACTCTAACGATCACGAGGTTGAGTTTGTGGCTTGTGTCTTAACGTAGTCGAAATCTTATAGTGGTTTAACTTGACTAGAATCTTGATTGCCCCTGCTTTCTCGAAGATTCTCTGATAATCTGCCACTCACATGCCTTCCATTTTTTTATATTGGAAATAATTCAAATACCCAGTCCATTTAAACCAGGTATGGAGAGATCAAGAATGTCTTTTTGGATGGTGCAAAAGGGAAAGGAGAGAAGGACATGAAATATTTTTTTGAAGGTTGGTTTTCTCTGATTCATCAGCTCCAACCGGGGGCTCAGATTTTTACTGATGCTGGTCCGGACACTAGGTGGATCGGTGATGAAGAGGGTTTTGCTGGGTCCACATGTTGGTCTCTATTCAACAAGAGTGCCGTTGAAATTGGTGGTCATAACCCCTAGTGAGTTATCTTTCGTTCAATATTCCTAAATATAATTGTCTCTTCTTTATGTTTGGGTATAAATTTTCCTCTTTGTATTTTCCTTCTCCATTTAAGTGAGGTCATCACTTAGCAGAGCTACATATAGTTCTGGCTAGCACGTGGCCGCCCCCTTTGTCTTCACTAAAGAGTAATAAGATGATGAATTTTTTTGGGGGCCAATAATAAGATGGAGATTTTGGAGATTTTACATTTGACAGATACGCAGGTAGAGGAGATCCATTTGGTCAAGATTGGGTGCCTGTTGAGTGTGATGTCTCGATCAGACCTGGTTGGTTTTGGTATGCTTCTGAAGTTCCAAAATCAGCAAGGACTCTACTTGACATATACTACAAATCAATTGGTCAAAACTGTCACCTGTTGCTAAATTTGCCTCCTAACTGTTCAGGTCTAATTTCAGATGAGGACATCCAAGTGCTTCAAGAGTTCAGTGATATCCGCAGGTCCATATTTTCCCGTAATTTGGCTCTGCACGCTCTTCTTCGTGCTAGCAGCACTCGAGGAAGGACTTGAGATTCTCGTTTCAGTCCTTACAACGTTCTTGAAGAAGGCATACAAACGTACTGGGCTCCTGGGTCGAATCAATTGGCTTGGATACTGTATATAGATCTTCAAAGATTAGTGCCGTTCAACGTTCTGAAATTACAAGAGCCTATTCAAATGGGACAACGGGTGATTGAGTTTCACCTAGAGACACTTAATAAAGGAGTATGGAAGAGAGTGGTGAATGGAACCACTATCGAATACCAGAGGCTGTTACGATTTCCAGAACTAAAATCTCAGCACTTGAAGCTTCAGATAGACGAGTGTCGGGTGGAACCGTTGATTTCATATTTCAGAATTTACTTGGATCGAGTTTCCATGCTAAGCAACAACGCATCTGACGGAAACTCAATAGCCCATTTCAACGGCAGCCAAGCTGCTCGCAGTACTGCACAAAACGACTCTCGACTTGCAGCCATGTAGATTTTACCCCATTCCTTTCTATGGTTGTAATGTGTATACATTGCACAATAAAAATATGAATTCAATTTTGGTTCTTGCATAAATCCTTAATTATGAATATAGAATAGCGTGATCTTAAAACCATGTGAAGATAGAAGAGCGTGATCTTGAAACCATGTCAGCTCCCAGCCTCCTAGCCATCTTTTTTCTTTTCTCAGGGCGGATAATGTGCCTGGATAACTATATCCTAATATTTGATTTTTCTTAGAAAAAAATACTAGCGTAATCCCTATAAAGGACGAATATTTAACACTAATGTGTGCTTCATGGAAAATAATTCATTCATGCATTCTCATGTCATGCAGAACGATATTTAATATGTGCAAGGTGCTTTAGCAAGGATAGAATTACGCAAGTGCTTTCTAGTTCTGGCACGTTGAATTTTGCAGCTTCGTAGAAACCCAAAATTTGGGCTGATGTTGATACAAAGTTTTCATTAATAATAGAAACAAAGCAGATGACTCCCAAAATCACGTTATTTTTACGTCTCGCAGCATCCTTGCTGCCATCGAGCCATATCTTCTAGCTTCCCAGTCACTGTGTTTTGTGTTCGGGGAGTATGTGTCATCCTTTTCTTCTGCAAAATCAGACCCTTTTTCTTTGGCAACATTTTCCTCACTAATTTTGTCTTCCCCACTGGTTTCAAGTACGGCATCAGCTTTCTCAGCAGAAACGAGACCTGCATTCTCTATGCGCTCTGCCGTAGGTTTTGATCCCATTATGAAGAGCTGAATACTAGGATGTTGGAACGTTTCATCCATCTGCACATATTTAACTCTTCAGAGCAACTTCAAACATCTCATTAAGGTTGAACTCATCCTATATCCATTCATCAATGAGCATCTGAATGCGAGACTACACCCAGACAATTGCACAATATTAAACTGTACAACTAAATAAATAAATAAAAATACCTTGGACTTTGGAACAGTCTTAACATCAAAAGTTTTTTTCCACATCTGAAGCATCTGCTCATGGACAATGGTGGAACGGATCTCATAGCCCAGCTTCAAGATTAAATATAAAGAAGTCACAAGCAAATAAGTGAACTATGAACTATTCAAGTTTACAAGTCGAAATAAGTACAAGACATTAAAATACTACCAAAATTGTAGTCCTGGGTCCAGATAAAGCAGCGACTGTCTGCAACAGAGGCTCCAACAAATGCTCAACATAAACCTAAAGAGGGTTAAGTTGGGGGAAAAATTAGAACAACAGAAGGCTAGATGAAACATCGCATGCCACCTGAGTTAAAATAACAAGGAACAATGCCTGCTTCACAGTTCTGCGATGAGGCAGATTACCTACCAAAGGGATCATATGCTCAAGTACTCGGTACTCACCATGAACCCATCCTAATCCACATACACATATATTCATATACGCTTCAAAGTATATGACATCATCAAAGAATGAATGCTAGTGCTGCATGGAAGCAACATTCAGTCTGCTTTACATGTAGAAAGGTGTGGTTAACACTTACAACATCAGTGCCAATAATGTAATCAAAGGGAGGATCAACAGCCCTGATGTGATCCCTGTCTCCCCACTGTAACTCTGAAACCTTAACTGAACCAAATAAATCTATAAAAGAACAGAAGTCTTCATCAGATGCTATAATTCTTATTTGCAGAACAGTAAATAGGCTAAGACCAAGTACATGCATGAAAAGCATCCCCTTCCAAAATGAAACATGTTTTACAAGTTCAGAAAGATATTCAACTCCCAAGTTTCACAAAAACACCCCCATAGCATATGGCAATGTAGATGGTTCAAAAGTTTCAAACCATACCAGGATTTTTCTGCATAACCCTTGAAATATTGCGCTCAACATTTCTCTGAAGTATTGGCAAGATCTCTTTTTGGTCTGTCACTATAACATCACACCCCAGCAAAGCCATGCCTGCAAAGTGCAAAAGAAGCACGGATTGGATTAGACCAGACATCACCATTCAACCAAAGCAGGGCAGCCAGAACAATTCCAGCCAAGGGATGCAAATAGGTAGCGTGAATTAATTCAAGGAACAATTTTTTAATTCCTTGATTATAATATTAAAAACCCACCAAATCCAGAAACTCCACAACCGGCCCCAAGTTCAATTACACGTTTTCCTTTAAGCTTAGCTGGGGAAAACTTCCCCTTTCTGCAATTTTTTTCCTGAATCAATGAAAGATGCAATCTGGGAGTTAAAGTCATCTAAATTCAGAGTTATTGCTTGATGCTTTTGCAGAACCAAAATGGCAATATCTAACGAATTTGAAAATTTAGATCATGCTCTAGTGCGACGGGATCTAACTTCAACTTAGGAAGACATTGTCTTCCAAAAAGAAGAGAAATCTTTTTTTTTTTTTAATGAAAGAACAGCTCTGCAATGTTGGTTCTCTCTCTCTCTCTCTCTCTCTCTCTTCCTAGTACTTCATAGGAGTTGGAGGAATAACATACAGTCACTCAAAACATAGCATCAGAAAAAAAAAAGAAATTGAAAATGAAAAGAACAGCAGTGACCATCATAGATATTCCAGCCTTTTAGATGAACTTTTATTCGGATCCTAGAATACTTTAAATTCAAGGATTACTTTTATTTCTTTCCTTCAACAAAAGAGGCCCAAAAAATATACACAAAATTTCACCAATGTTTTAAGAAATTGGGAATATAAAGAATGAAGCAACTAGTTCTCAAATGTCCAAGATTCAACATACGTTCAAGGAAAAATAAAAGGGGATACAACTCACTAGAAACTTGACAAACACAAGTGATGCATCCCATACAGTAGTTCCCAAGTGTTTCGAATTAGGATCCTACCACAGTCATAACCCATTCACATTGTCAGATAATTTATGGAAAGGCCGAAAAACACCCAAGAATACATAGCACTAAACATAACACACACAAGAGAAACAATATTTAATCAAAGCATCATCAAATTTTAAAAACTTCTGCGGATGTTTGTGTCTATTTCACTGAATAAAGGAGAAATGCTTCGCTTCTGGGGATGCCATTGGCCTTGAAACAGCAGTAATTATACCTGAGAAAACTGCAACTCATGACCCAAAATCTCCAACGGCATTTCGAATGTTGTTGGGGAATTTAATCTGGCATGATGATCGTGGATATTAGAAAAGACAAATTCTAGCTAGAAAAGGAAGGGAAAAATAAGCTTCACAATCCCATAATCATTATAGGTCTCTGTTCACAAATACAAATTAGAGTCCCATAAATAGCAGTATTATATCTACCGTCATTCGTTACAAAACGTACCTGTCAGGCTCCATAGGGTCAATGTTTGAAAAATTACGCTTGCGTAACAAAGGCAATTCTAGAAGCTTTACAACCGAAGTAAGTTCATATTTTGCTCAGAACTCACTGCAACAAAATAAACAATAATGATTAGTCAGAACGTAAACATATTCCGTACAGAGAGGGGAGAAGGAAGCACTATATATGTAATGGACGCGAGGTCTAGCCCCCAATAACTTCAGGTGTAAAGACTCTTTCTTTTGATGACTTCAGATCATTAGTAAAATGAGATTCTGAAGTCGGGATCTCCCTGAGCAATCCACCACAATTACATATTCCATGACTGGCGTTTCAAACTATTCTAAAGTTTGCTACCTCTACCTTTTTGTTGTATCGCAGCTCATATATCAACTTGACATAAATTAACTCAGATATCATTAATAAGCGACTAATAAATAGAATAAACAACGAAAACGCGAAGAAGAAGGGAGATCAAACCAATCTCCGTGCTCCCCTAAAGCTTGAACTTCCGATTGACCTCAAGGAATAAGCACCTTTCTTTTTTTTATTATAAATTTTAGGACTGAAGCAGTGCGAAGCTTGAGCGGCTTTCTGGTTACCTCAAGGCTGTAACAGCAAAAATCGATGGAGAAAAATAGAAAATTTTTTTATAAAGAAAAATAGAAATTCAAATGAGTTAAGACCGTTAATCAAATCAAGATTGATTTTTTTTTTTTCACCCCATTCACTGAGAGATGGGACGGAGATAATTTTTTTTTTGCCAGCACGTTGGATATGATTGAATACTACGCTGGTCATGCCGTTTTATTGAAACAGCATGCGCGTATTGATTTTTCCCCTTGTATTTTCTGAGATAAATAAAGCGCTTGTAATTTTTTTATTATTTGTAAATATTTGGAGACATTACTATTTAAGTTATCATCGAACTTTAAATATAAATATTTTTAATAAAAATTTAAATATTAATTCATTATATTATAAGAAATTAATTCCTTTTATTAAATTAATTTGAGTAAGATACATATGACTTATCCTTTTTTTTAATACAAAATTATGGTAAAATTGTACAAAAATCAAAATCAAGTAATGTCATAAGTCATAAAATTTATACAACCAGTAGGCAAACTTTCAAATAAATAAATATTAAAATTCTTCATTGATGCCTTATGTACTATTAAGTCAGCGTATTTATTAATTTTTTTTTAGACATGTTCAAAAATTATCTCCCAATTACATGTGATTTATCCCTTAAATGAAAAGAAAAGTGAGTGGAAAATTGTAATCTTTTTACATCGATATGGGGAGAAAAATAAAGTAGAGAGAAATTTGGGAAAACATAATAAAGAAGATCTACACATTTTTCTCTTGACTTTTTTTCTTTTAAATTGAGAAAAAATTTTCTGAAAAGTTTTCAATATCTGCCCATCAATTTTATTATATTCTATTATTTCTTAATATAATGTCATGTATTTTTTAAATTATTTTAAATCATGTTAAAAGAGTTATTTAATTTTTTTAAAAATCATTGTGTAAAAGTAAATTTTAAAAATTTAATTTTATATTAAATTATTAAATTAATTACTGTTCACCTTCATTATTTTTTTTCCGAGTAATAAGAAAAAGTCACCACTTCTCATTTTTCTCTTTTTCTGCATTTTTTCTCTCCTTTATTCTCAAATCATACTCCATTAAAAAAATATTTTTTAATAGTTAAATATTTAAAAATATAAAATGTTTTCTATTTTTTTAACGTATAATTATTTTTATAAATATTTTATTAAATAAATCATTTTATATTTTTTAAAATAAAATATTTTATTAAATTTTAATAAATCTAAAAAAGGTAAATTTAATTTAAAATAAGATACTACTTTATTAAAAATAATATTTAATTAAAAATATTTCATATTTTTTTTTACAAAAGAGTTAGGAAAGAAGCGTATTTTTCTTTAGATCTGGTTTGATTGCAGCAACCAACGGCGCCGTTTGATTTGGCGTGCGGTTTGTTCCGTCGATCTTGCGAACGGTTGAGATTGTTCCTTGCTGGTCAAGCGTCGTGCTTTGGATGCAGCAAAGACGGAGGAGAGGAAAGATGGAGACCGACCGACGGCGGAAGGAGGTAACGTTTTTGATTGTCCAGAAAGTCGGAGGCACACAGAATTCCCTGAAAACTGAAAACAAATGCAATGGAAGATCATGAATCAACGACGATTACGTGCAGCATTTTAGCCATAGACCACACCAATCTCACTTACCATGCCTGCCATGTTTGTGAAAGGCCTCAGCTTGACTCCTTACCTTCTTCCACTAACCTTTCCTCTCCTTGCAAATTCTGCTGCTCCAAATCCCTCAACCCTACCTCCCCCTTCCCCTCCTCTTTCAAACGACTATTTCGAGTCCTGGTTCGTTTGTTTTCCAGATTGAAAAAAAAAAAAAAGGATTGCTGCAAAGTTCTTATTTCGACTTTTTCCCCCCTTCATCTGATTTGACGTAGTGGGTTTTATCTGTGTTTTGCAGATGTCGATTGCAACTGACACCAAGGTTATCACTGTCGTTTGCTTTGATAAAGTTGCGAGGGTTCTGTTTGGATGCTCTGCCGATGAATTTTTTGACTTTGCCAAGCTTCACCCGTTGTCTGGTAAATCTGCCTACATTTTTATGTTTGTTTCTACTGCTTGATGTAGACAGGAGACAACAGTTCCGAAAGAATCTATTTCTTGCCATGCACTTGCCTCTAGACTAGAAATTTAGCGTTGAAAGTGGACAAAGCATGCTTATAATGATATGGAAAAAAACTTCTATGTCAAAAAGCAAAATTTTACACCTAAGTTTTGTCCTTCAATGTTGTATACCCTTTCGGAATCACTTCTATTTGTTACTGCAGGCCCGATGGTTAACGAAATTCTAGAGGGAGAGATGTTCAGAATGAATGTATCGAAACCAAAAAACGGTCATGCACGACATCTACGAGTTGTATCAGCTATCCCTCTGAGGAGTGGATTTAGGCCAGCAATTGAAGCCTTGAGAGAATACCACCGACGATTACCAGTTTCATAATGCCTTTTGGTTTCTCTATTGTCTCAGGGATCTACTTACTTCTGTCTAATTTAGCTTCCCGATATATTTTTTCCATGTTGTTGTTGGATAATTCATATGAGATCTCTACTGTTATAAGTAGAAGAATGGTGTTTTGAGTAATCATTACTTATTAGATACTCCAGAAAAACTCTCGAGTTAAAAAATTATAGCGACATGACACATTTTTGAAACCTTTTGTAGTTTAGATTGTGCTGAGTATATTTATCTTAAAGAAAATATAGTTGCATGTAAAAGTGCGCATTTAATTAACATGCGTGGAAGATTTACAGTATAACTTTTAATTTTAATGCACGGTTCTCTATTCTAAATTTTTTGAAAATGAATCTTATTCCCCTCTTCAAATATAATCAAATCATGCACGAAGCCATGTACACATGAAGAAGCCAATAACTTCCATTCAAGAGGAGGGTGGTTTCAGTTTTAGTTTAGTTTTGAGCTTTGAAGCTATCACTTTGGAGAGGCGTGATCTCCTCCTGCTGAGATCAGTTTTCCCTGCATCCAATTCCTCAACATCTGAAGTGCCGCTTTTGGTTGATCCATAGGGACCATATGCCCTGCTTCATGTACCTGTTTCACGGTACCCAAGTCATGGAAGAAAAAGTGAAAATTTAATCATAAGTTCATTTATTAGGTGTTTCTGTCAAAATTTTAATACAATTATACTATGCAAGGAATTTTTTTTTTTTGAAGTGTCAATAATCTAATATTTTGAAAAATATTCCCATGTTACGTTTTTGTTATAGAGTCTCAACAAACCTTAAGGAAAGTGAGAGGTCCGTGTCCTTTGAGCAATCCTGCCTCAGTTCCATCAACTGTGAATGGAATTGTAGGTGATGCCTCGAATTGTTTTTGACCTGACCATTCCATGGCATGAACCCACCTTGAATTCCCTGTTAATTTAGCAGCACATTAGTAAAGTTAACTGATGGTACAATCTGGTGGTTAACACCTGAGGAACATAGGTCCAAAATGAATCCAGTGGGCTTACCAAGCCAATTACAGATGAGATCATCTTCGCCAGCGTATACAAGCACCTTGATTCCATCCTCAAGGAGAGAAGGAATACCCACTTCCAGATTCCTCATCCAGTCCTTCAACATGGCATCATACACTGTGCTACTGCATGACACGAAATCCAAATCCCCAACTCCTATAGCACTTCTCACTTCCTTCTTGTTCAAGAATGTCTCCATGTTTGAGAAATCATAGCACAGGTCTCCCTCACATTTCTTCTTTATGTCATAGTACTGCAGTTTGTAAATCAGCATGCGTTAAAACTCAGTAAATATGAAACAAGTTACTATCATTCAGAATCACCGCTCAAATAGCCACTTAGGTACATAAAGGCAGTGTTCTCCCATGGTTTCTTACATTGATGTTGCCTGAGATAGACAATATCTCATTGAATATGTTATTGCAAACAATGTATGAGGATACACAGGCATCTCCGCCTTCAGTGCCTGGAATACAAACACCAACCAAGAATAATGTTATTGAACAGAAATCATTTACTCCATTTATTTTCTTCTTCTTCTTCTTCTTCTTCTTTTTTTCCCACCAGAAGGTGTTTGAGCGAAAGAGGTACCGCAAGTTTTAATTGCATGAATGCATGGAGGGAGTAACTTGCTGATATTGTCGTAATCAGCCTTGTTAATCAAACCTCTGTCTAACGCATAGTCTGTATAAGCAGGGTATTGCATTTCTGGATTGGTTAGCCCATTGCCAATGGCAAATCCCTGTTTAAACATCACAAGGGATTAGATAAACCAATACATGGAAGCTGAAGCGATCAACATTTAGGATGATGGTTGTCTGAGAAACAGGGCAAGACCTTGAGGTTTATGTGGAGTCCTTGTTTCTCTTTGTTTCCTTGGTGAACTCTGGAAGCAAGAGCTGGAATGTAATGCCCCGCATATGATTCTCCAGTGATATAGAAGTCGTTCTTAGCAATTGAGGATGCTCCTTGAAAAATGCCTGCCATGATCCTTAAATATTTTGAATCTTATTGCAGCATAGCATGAACTCTTTTTCATTTGTTTATCGTACTTTGGTATGGTTTATAGTATTTCGCACACATGAATTTTATTTTAGACTAAAATTACCTTTTTGTAATTTCAAAAGTACACTATACATTAATTTCAAAAGTCCACCTTGTTCAGCGAACGAGCTATTAGTAATAGGTAATTTCTTTGCCAACAACCAAAAAAAAACAAAGAAAGAAAAAGAAAAAGAAAAAGAAAAGAAAAGAGGAAAAAAGGCGTCTGTCGCCATACGCTTTGATTTCTTAGAAAAGGAAGAGAAGATATATATATATATTACCTGCAAAAAGTCGTACAAGTCATTGCTAACACCATCTTCGTCGTGACGAATGTCATTTTCATCAGAAGTGTAGCTAAAACCTGTCCCGACGGGTTGGTCCACATATAGAAGATTTGAGGCCTACGAATTGAGAAAATATCAGTAATAGGAATTGGCAAATTCAAGTGGTTCAACAACCTTGATTCTCTTTTTCGCCCAAAATAAATAATTAATGGAAAAGCTTGATTCTCTAAGCTGAGAGATCGCCAGAGTGAGATGTGAACAGATATGCACATAGTAACTAACAAATTTTTTGAGACGTGCCTTTATAAAAGAAATCATGGGCTTGACAAAACAGAGAGAAATGGTCGGAGTCGGTTATAAAGAGTGGGTAATTATGTCGGGGAAAAAGCAAGGAGAAATGATAGGCACCTTATCCCAGCCATATTCATTCCATGAAAGAGACAAATTGTTTGTGATCTGAAAAGGGCCATTCTCATAAAACATGGCTAGTTCACTGCTACATCCTGGTCCTCCAGTCAACCATATGACCAGAGGATCATCCTTACTCTTCCGAGATTCGAAGAATAAATAGAACATCCTGCAAACACACACACAGAAGAATTGATTAATGACGCCCTTCAACCTTCAAGACTTCAATACAATTCTGGACCGAAGTATTTGCCAATAATCAAGTACAAGATGACAATTTTACGACTTTTTTCAGCCCCAAATGTTATGCACGCACAAAGACCAAATAACTTTCTTTAGCCTGTTATGCGGCGAGGAGTATTGGCTATCAAATGAAAATAACATGGCCTTGTCAACGAAAGCTGTGATCCGAACACGCGAATAGGACTAAAAGTAAAAGTCAATTGCTGAGTTTTCCAAGATTCCAAGAACATATACCTCTAAAGAAGAATAGTGGGGTTGCAAGACTCGTTTTCGCGTTAATAATCATTAATATGAAGTATTTTCCTTGCCTTTCGAATATTAATGATGATTTGATATGAGTTTTGATTATGTATGCATACTTTTGAACAGGATATTATTTGTCTTCACACTAGCTCTTTCAACTTTTCCCACCAAACTTGGAATATCTCACCACTTTATTGATCAATTTGAATCTAAATAATTGCTTGAAATCACGGAAAAGAATTCCAGAACTCTGTATCTAACTTGAACAAATATTTCTGACCGGAGAGAATAAAACAGAGGAGATGACAAGCCAAATTTTGAACATAATGACCAAATAAATGGGAGTAAAGTCACGGACCTTGCAGCTTTGGAATGAGGAAGACGATAATACCCTGCATGGTGACCGAGCTCTTCCATTGAAGGCCCACCAGAAACAGCATTAAGATTAGGAAATGTGAACTTCTTCTCCACAATCTTCTCAGGGGAAAACAGAGGATCGCTGGATCGCGTGTTGACTGATTCTTTCGGGAACAAGTTTAACTCTCTTATGAGCTTTTCTGCTTGTACCTTGGGGAGGTAGGCCGTGGAAGATAAACGAAGGTCATTGCCAGTGGTGGTGGGTGAAGTTGCAGAGCAGAAGGGTGAAACGAGGAAGAGAAGAAACAGAAGAGAAGACAGAGAGGTTGAAGACGATGCTTCCATAGTTGGTGGTTTGTGAGAAGTGTGAAGGAATGAGGGTGGAATTTATAGTGCTTGGCCTCAAAGACCGTAAAGTCGTAGACGAAAAGGTTGAGTATCAGAGGGTTAACGGTCTTCATCACTTTTCTCTTTTAATTATTAAATAATTTGCTTTTCTTTTTACTAATAAAACCTCTTTTTTTCTTTTCTGCAAGTTTTTGTTCTTTTTCAGAATCTGGTTTTGGTAAATATTCTCCCGGGCAGTTTCACCAAAAGAAAATAAATTATTTAATCTACCCCTGCTCATTTTTTTCTTTTATTTATAATTTAATTAATATTGTATTGACTTGAAGTGAGAACAAACTCAACACCAGTCATTTCGGAATTTTGATGCCATGGGACAATGATATTACGCAATCAGAGAGGAAGGAAGGAAATAAATAATATTACATGACTGAAGTCATTATAAAATAAGGAGAATTATAATCATGTTTTACGTTAAAAAATTAATTACTATAAAATTAATTGACAATTGGCTGTGTTGTCAATACAGTTTAATTCAATTTTCAATAAATTTTTTAATAATTAATTTTTTAATGTGAGATTTCATGATAGTTTTCCCTGAAATAAGCAGAATTACAATGATTAATTTTATTCAATTTGAGTGATAAATTATTGGAATTAAATCATGAAGACTATTTCTGCACTCAAGAGATGAGATAAAGGGACTAGCTAACATGACTTGGAAGGACGGCCTTCTTCCCCACACCACACCCTTCAAAGAGTCATTTATTATACATGACATGCCTTCCAAGCATGAAGCGATGTTGTAGTGTGATGATAATTGAAAAATAGTCATCAAAGGTTGTCCAGTCTGACTCCTTCTTACTAAAACAAGTCATTGTATGATAGAGTAACGTCCTAATGTCATGATGCTTTTATCATTATGGCAACCTTAGACCATTTCTCTCTATTTCAGTAATTGTGAAGCCACAAAGCGCCAAACTAAACCTAAACCACGTGTTGCGTGTAAGATAACACACTAGTGCCTTGAGAGCACATAAACACGCAAATTTGACCAAATCGTATGAATAAACTAAAAACAACATGAACCAAAAAAAAAAAAAAAAACCCCGCTTGTGTACTGTCTACCCCATACGATCCCTATCAAACTCATTTGTGTTTCACAATAGCGATGATTGTCCCTAATCAGATATAAACACTGAGTTTGCTATCCTATAGTTGTTATGATTATGAGTGACATAGAAGATAACCC